GAGAGTCCGTGGGCCATGCTTTCTGGGGTTCCTCCAGTCTCAGTCAGACCATTAAGTCTGGTCTTTTTACTAGAATTTGAGTTCTGCACCCCACCTCTCTCCTGCTCCATCAGGGACTCTCTGTTGTGTTCCCTGTCAAGGCAGTCAATGGTGGTAGCCAGGGACCATCTAGTTCCTCTTGTCTCAGGCTGATGAAGTCTCTGGTTTATGTGGCCCTTTCTGTCTCTTGGGCTAATGCTTTCCTTGTGTCTTTGGTGTTCTTCATTCTCCTTTACTGTAGGTGGGTTGGGACCAATTGATACATCTTAGATAGCTGCTCTCTAGCTTTTAAGACCCCAGACACCACTTACCAAAGTAGGATGCAGAACATTTTCTTAATAAACTTTGTTATGCCAATTGACCTACATGTCCCGAAACCATGGTTCCCACACCTTCATCCCTGCTACTCTGTCCCTCAAAGTTTTTGGTTGTATTCAGGAAACTTCTTAGCTTTGGTTTAGTCCAGTTGTGCTGACTGACCCTGTAGTGTGTGTTGTCCTTCCCTTCACCTAAGATAATTCTTGTTCACTATCTAGTTAGTGAATAACCCTTACTCTCCTTCCCCACCCTCGTAACTATCAAAGAATGTTTTCTTCTGTGTTTAAACCTTTTCTTGAGTTCTTATCATACTGGTCTTATACAATATTTGTCCTTTTGTGATTGACTAAATTCGCTCAGCATAATGATCTCCAGATTCCTCCATGTTATGTTTCACGGATTCATCATTGTTCTTTATTGTTGCCTAGTATTCCACTGTGTGAATATAACATAATTTGTTTATCCATTCATCCACTGAGGGGCAACTAGGTTGTTTCCATCTTTTCGCTATTGTGAACAGTGGTGCAATGAACATGGGTGTGCATATATCTATTTGTGCAATGGCTCTGATTTCTCTAGGATATATTCCAGGGAGTGGGATTGCTAGATCGTATGGTACTTCTATTTCTAGCTTTTTAAGGAAGCGCCAAATCGATTTCCAAAGTGGTTGTACCATTTTACATTTTACATTACAACAGTGTATAAGTGTTCCAGTCTCTCCACAACCTCTCCAACATTTATTATTTTGTGTTTTTTGGATTAATGCTAGCCTTGCTGGGGTGAGGTACTATCTGACTGTAGTTTTGATTTGCATTACTCTAACAGCTAATGCTCATGAGCATTTCTTCACGTGGCTGTTAGCCACCTGAATATCTTCTTTGGTGAAGTGCCTGTTCATATCCTTTGCCCATTTTTTAACTGGGTTATTTGCCTTTTTGTTGTTGAGATTTTGCAGTATCTTGTAGAGTTTAGAGATTAGAAGCTGATCAGATCTGTCATAGCCAAATTTTTTTTCCCAGTCTGTAGGTTGTGTTTTGACTCTTTTAGTGAAGTCTTTTAATGAGTATAAGTGTTTGATTTTTAGGAGCTCCCAGATACATGAGACTAAACAAGCAGTTTCTGTCTGGAGGTGAGATGAAAAGGCAGAGAGGGTTAGGAGTTGGTTGAATGGACATGGGAAATCAGAAGTCGAAGGGAGGAGTGTGCTGTCACAGTACAGGGAGAGCAATTAGGGTCACATAACAATGTATGTATAAATTTTTGTATAAGAGACTAACTTGAAATGTAAACTTTCACTTAAACTACAACAATAAACAAAAAAAAAAAAAGAGAAAAACGAAACAACACACGTGAGGAACGTGCTTCTTAGTCCAATCAATTATATGAGACCAAATGGTCAGTATCTGCCCAAAAGCAGAGACAAGAAGGCAGGAAGGGACAGGAAAACCAGAGGAATGGACACAGGGAACCTCGGGTGGAAACGGGGAGAGTGCTAACACATTGTGGGGATTGTAACCAATGTCACAAAACAATTTGTGTATAAATTTTTGAATGAGAAACTAATTTGTGCTGTAAACTTTCACATAAAGCAGAATAAAATTAAAAACAGAAAAGCTACGGACAGTCCTTGGAGTTGACTCGATGGTAGCGGGTGGTTTTTTGGTTTGATATGGACAGTTCTCAGAAAAATCCAGCACACTGCACCATACAGAATTCTGCATACAACTTTAGGATGCTCACAGACTCCAGTGGTACTTGGGTTAAGAACCCCTGCATTAACAATTCTCCTCAGGAAAAAGTGCTAAGGAAGATCTCCAGGGAGAGATAAAGGAGGGAATCATATGAAACTCTTTTCTTCTGTAATCTTCACCTAAGATAATTCTTGTTCACTATCTAGTTAGGGAATAACCCTCACCCTCCCTCCCCACCCTCATAACCATCAAAGAATGTTTTCTTCTGTGTTGAAACCTTTTCTTGAGTTCTTATCATACTGGTCTTATACAATATGTCCTTTTGTGACTGACTAAATTCGTTCAGCATAATGATCTCCAGATTCCTCCATGTTATGTTTCACGATTCATCATTGTTCTTTATCGTTGCCTAGTATTCCACTGTGTGCATATAACATAATTTGTTTATCCATTCATCTGCTGAGGGGTACCTAGGTTGTTTCCATCTTTTCGCTATTGTGAACAGTGGTGCAATGAACATGGGTGTGCATATATCTATTCCTGTGATGGCTCTGATTTCTCTAGGATATATTCCAGGGAGTGGGATTGCTAGATCGTATGGTACTTCCATTTCTAGCTTTTTAAGGAAGCGCCAAATCGATTTCCAAAGTGGTTGTACCATTTTACATTTTATATTACAACAGTGTATAAGTGTTCCAGTCTCTCCACAACCTCTCCAACATTTATTATTTTGTGTTTTTTGGATTAGAAGTTAAAAGTTAAGGAATGTAGAAGGAAGAACAATCCATTGTTGTTACCAGAATAACAGGCTAGTCAGAGATGACCAGAATAATTAGAGTAGTCAGTGGTGGCTAGAAGTTACTTGATTTCATTGACCAAAGAGAGAAAAAAGGAAGTAGCATAGTTTGAGGGACTGAACTTACTTTAATAAGGAGGCAGAAAGTTGGGATATATTTTCAACATGAGAAATAAGATAGTGGAATGTAGTTCTTTTAAGCAAGTCTGTTATGACATTTGTATTAAGGACAAATTCTCTAAGAAAAATTCTGGCATAAGCCACCTAGCATTTCTACACAACCAATTTCTCTTACAATACCAGGGCCTTATTATACAGAATGGAGAACAGGAGAAGCTCTAGTGGCTAGAGGATCTACTCAGGAAAGGGGAAAGAGGGATTAGCAGATAAAAAAAAAGAACAGATCCAGGAAGGAACATCTTAGTTTGGAGAATTCTTTTTTAGGAGTTATGGGAGAGGATTCAGAAAAACTGAGAAGTGAGAGACTGAGAGAGCATTTTAAAAAGAGGAACCATAGTGTATGAGCTGGATTCTCTTTGAGATCCTGCGAAATATTTAAATCAATTACATTTGCCTACTGGACTTTATTTCTTCAAACACAATGCTGCCCAGAGACTAGGCCACTGTGCGCCCTTAGATATTTTCAGGTTACACTTATTTATTCATTCATTCAAAAACATTTACCATATTATGTTGCTATGAGTCGAAATTCAACTTCATGGCAACAGGATATTATATTACAGCTGTTGTGCTAAACAATGGAGATGCAAAGATTAATAAACACAGTAATTGGTCTCAAGTTCCTCATATTTTAGGAGAGGGGCAGATATGCAAATAATGCTAAGTGCTATAATATTAAACATGAGAACAAAGAGGATATATAATCAAGTTTAGGGAGTCAGAAATGGAGAGGAAATAGGCAGTAATCAGATGTCTTTCGATCTTTCTTCTTCTGCATCTAAAGGGCTGCTTACCTTCAAGCTGAGATGGCTAGATAAGCACTTCAGAACTTGAGCCATGCTGGCTGTGGCCCGTTCCCGCTCATGGTCTTTGACTGACTGTAACCAGGGGTCCATGAGCTGTGAAAAATAAAGGGAGGCTAAAATGGTTTGTAAAGAAGATTTGGGATCACACCTTTATTCTGTTTGGAAGAAAATGTGAAGACAGAAGTTCCACATGTTGCTACTATAAATGAAAATATTTTCCTAATTATAAACCAGTTTGGGCTGGAATTTAAAGTGGTAGAATGACAAGCAAAGGCACAAAGACCTAGGGAGTTAGGTGGTCAGGCCCTACGGGGCTTATTTTCTATCCTTTTGTATGTTTTTAGCCCTACTAAATCTGTTTTAGAAAGAAATAAAATTAATAAGGTGCTATTAAAGGAACTTTGAGGATGGAGGAACTGCATCTGCCTGGAACAGTCAGGGAAGGATTCATGGGCAAGGTGATTTCCATAAGTACAAGCTTCATAAAGAAGGTGGGATTTCAAGTAGAAGAAATGGCTTGAACAAAGCTGCCAAGGCAGGAAAGTACAAATCACAACTGAAAAAACGGGAGAAGTCCAATCTGGCTGGTGCATCAATGTACAAATAGGGAGCAAAGAGAAAGTTTCGGTGGGTTATGGCAAGGATAAATGTCCAAATGCACTTAAGTGCAAATTATTAATAATATGAAAAAGGTTATCCCTTTCTGGGATATTTGTATCTTAAAAAAGGACAAGAGGGCAAGAGGTCTGAATTGCAGTGAATGCATTCCAATGAATGCATCCCTAATGATGGAATGGCATATCCTAAAGCAGGTGCAGGTGAAATAATGGGGGCAGATGGTGATTTACTACCTCTGAATCCCAGCTGGTAGGCAGCTACCTATTTATTCGCTCATGGGGCTGACCATTCCCTGAAACACTTCTATGCCAGTAAGGAATAATAATTTAAAAATAATTGTAGCAACCACTGATTGAAGGCCATTTATTCAATACTTAGAGTAACCCTGTGAAACAGGAATTATTATTTCCATTTAAAGGCGAGGAAACTAGATCCTGAGAGAGACATTAAATTTCCTTGCAGTTTATTGCAGAAGGCCTTTGCAGAGTTTATTGCAAAAGGCCTTATAGCCAGTTAATGGCAGACAGTCAGAATCTGAACCCAAGTCTCTGACTCAAAGCTGATAGCTGATACTCTTAACTATTATGCTGCTCCTAAAATGTAATCCTTCCACATTTTCTTTCTCCACTTCCATCCACTAGTTAATAGGAATAGTTTCCCATCCTCCCCTGATATCCTGTGTACCTCAAAAATGGTGTCAAGATTTTCCAAATGTGGGTCTTTTACCACCAAACTCTGGAGCATCTCACAGAATGCCTGAAATGTCTGCCTGTAGAGACACTGAAAAGGCACAAGATCAATGATGTGCCCCCACGTGAAGTTCCCCAAGCACTGTAGACTTTTAAGGTTCTCTTAGTTATCTTGAGCCTTTACCCAAAGGAACAGAAGCTGTGTAAAAGTACTGGTAGACAATTTGTGGCATGAGGTGAAACAGAATAAATTTTCATTTGAAATGGGACACCCAAGCATTACTGGGGACACAGTTAACCATTCTAACTACATTGGGGGAATTATCAAGATACTTTTAAAGTTTGACTTGTGACTCTTTGACGTCTAGAGATAAAGGGGAACAAAGTCCCCTTAACAATTGCTTTACCATCCAGTTTACTAGCAACAAAAGAAAACCAGGGCCTTTGCACTTACTCTTCCCTCTGTCTGAAAGCCTCTCCTCCAGATATCCACACCCTCTCTCTTCCTTCAACTAGCACCTCATCAGGAAGACTTTCCCTGACCACCCCATATTAAAAAAAAGCCCCTTTGCTCTCAACAATAATATTCTTTATCCTCTTCTTTCCTGGCTTAATTTTTTATAGAACTTACTATCACCTGACATATTACGTATTTACTTATTAATGGTTTGTCTCTTTGCAATAGAATGCAAGCTCCACAAACAACAGTACAGTCTTTGTTTTTGTTTTCTGCTGTATTCCTATTGCCAGTCATAAAGCTTAGCACATGGTGACTCTTAATAAATATCTGTTAAATACATGAATGAACATTCCTACCTTATTTTAAATACAAAAGGAAGAAAAGAAGAGATGAAGGAAAAAAGAAGACGAAATACGAAGAAAAAAGATACTATCTAATTTAACTACCTATTTTATTCACCAGACTTGGTTTACAGTAAATGGCTTTTGGCTAGTCCCAAAAAAATCAAACGTACCCTCAAAAAGCCAAGATCAGCTGACCCTGTGGATGGCAAGTTACTAAAGCAAAGCATGAGTTACCTCTGAGTTGTTGGGCCTACTTGCCGTGACTTCCTGCAGCTGAGCAAGGGTCGTTACAGAAGGCAGAGTAATCATACTTTTGATGACAAGACTGAACAAGTCAGCTCCATCTTCAGAGCCAAAAAACAAATGGACATCTTGGTAACTAAAACAAGATTGTTTGGGAATAGCAAATTGGGAGGAGCATTTGATTTGATAGTGATAAGCAGGGATCTAACTAACCAAAAAGGGAAGGGTAGGCTGGCTGGTTTATCATTCAGATGGAAGAGATAAATGGCCTGAATTTTCAGTCTATTTGGATAAATCTCACAAAAGGTTAGAGAAAGCATTTTGGGCTCACAGCCTACATCCCCACCCCACCCTTACCACAAGAGGTCCCTGATACCCTTCCAGGCTTTCCTCCAGCTCAACTACAGAGGGAAGCCTACTATAGTCTAATATAGTCAACCACGATTTTCTAAAGTGTGTTCTGCTGAATGTTAATTTGGGAATGGTGGGCTGAACCAAGTTTAAAACTTTTTAACTACAGGACTTCTCAGGACCTTTAATCAGTTAATGTGCAGTATGAATTTCCAAGAGAGGTACACAGTATGCAGCCCTTTCCAAATTCCTTTGACTGTAAAACTCTACTGTCATGAAGCATATATGGGACAAATTTTCCACTGAATATACTTTGGACAAAACTAAACTCCAAAGTGGTTCCAATAAAGTCTTTCAGATATGGATTGTACATACATGAAACCAGAGTTCTGAAACAAAACACAGATATGGCATGTTGGTTGACTCTGGCATTGGCCATGAATGAGGATCCAAGATAAGGGGCATAAAGGTGTCACCTGAAGTCAGCAATGGTGACGAAGACCTCCTGGCGCATGGGGCTGAGGAGAGAATGTGGGGGCTCCTCTTGCAACAGCAACTGCAATGAGAAGGGAAGAACTTTAGAGTCAAGAACGTGACAAGTAACTAGGCCAGATGAAGAGGGATGTGGATGGCTTGCCATAACAGCAGCAGGTCCTTCAGTGGGCCTTACTCCTTGGCTCCACAGGACTGGTGGTAGGACAGTGTCAGGGTCTAAGGGTTTATCCTCTGGACCGCAGCCAGAACCTCGCTCTGCCTATTACCAGTTGCTTGAGCTGACATTATTTAACCTCCCTGTACCTCAGTTTCCTCATCTGTAAAATAAGATAACAGTACTCCTTATCTTCATGGGATGGTTGTACTAAATGAGTTCATTCATAATACCTAGCAGCCCCCAATAACTGTTAATTATTTTTATTACTGGTGACTATTTCTAGTTTGGATGATTCCAGTTTAGGCATCCTAACTCCTCTTTCTACTAAACCAGCCATCTCTATTATACCAAAAAAACAAAACCCACTGCCGTCAAGTCGATTCCAACTCATAGCGACCCTATAGGACAGGGCAGAACTGCCCCACAGGGTTTCCAAGGAGCAGCTGGTGGATTCAAACTGCTGACCTTTCGGTTAGTAGCCTGGGCTCTTAACCACTGTGCCACCAAGGCTCCATTTCTACTATAGTGCCTAATATTACTCTGAGTTTCTTGCCCTGAAAAAAGAGCAACTCTCCAAATTACAAATCAGCAGGGAAGAAGCTGCCCCGCTCTGCTGTAAACACCTAAAGAATGATAGAGAGGGAAAAACAGGGACTTTGGAGCCAGACAGCACCTGTTAGAACTTTACATTTGCCCCTGACATCAACTCCCTGAGATATATCTTATTCCCCCGTGCCATCCCCATTTTACAGATGAAGAAACTCAGGCACAAATGTAAAGGGTTGTAGCGAAAGCCTTACTAGATTGTCTCCCTAGCCTGTCTACTCTGGAAACTGCCACAGCCAATAAGAATGGGCACCTCATAGCCATGCTTCTGCTAAGTCATTCTGCACCACTGACCACAGCTGATCTGCCTAGGAATAGACACCAAGGCCAATTAAATTCTCTCTCAAGAATCTGGAATTGGGACAAAGAGCCTCCGTCTCAGTCTGGCTGGTCTACTGAATGGGGAAAATTGAAAATTTGAGAGCACTGGGCCCTACGGGCAAGCTAACAGAGCTGATTTGGGGGAGGAGAGAGAGAGAGACAGAGAAATGAGAATGCATTCAAAGGTACAAAGATAAGAGAAAGAAAAGTTCTCCCGGAGTATATGAAAGCTTTTTATTTTGTAGTTTCATTCCCTTCCTGAGGCAGCTGCTCTTCTTGTCTTAGGGTTCTGGGGAACATACAGTTATCCTCAGAATAGATCTCTTTTGTGTTTCAGATGCCTCTAATGGACTTCCCTTACCTGCTTCCAAAACGACCTCACTTAGGAACTTAGGCTAGTGCCCAGCTGACAGTAAATGCTGAATAAATATTACCAGGCTCCCTTCCTTGCCTTTCTGAATTTTCTCTTTCTCTTCTTACCTTCCAACTGTAGTGTGACCCTGAGATCTTACCTGTGGCCTGCTGTTCTTCTTTATCTACTTATTTCCTCAAAGAGCTCATCTACTTTAATGGTTTTATAGTCTAAAGGGATGAAGCATAAGACTTGATTGCTCTCCAAGGGCCCTAATCGCCCAAAGCTAGTTATCTCAAGAGCACTGCCACTGAAATCACAGCCAAGACCTGACATTCCTATGTTAAGAAGTGAGTTCATTATCTTTCTCCTCCAAAGGGCACACCTCTCCAGCCTTCAACAGCTGTCAAGGGTGCCCTTTCCAGAGCTCATGAAAAAGATGATTTGTGACTGTTTTTTCTCTTATTCATCAATCACAGTGACACCCATTCCTGCTCTGCACTTTCTGTGATTCTCCATTCCTGCACCCATACACCTCACTCATGGAAGAAGGCAATGCTTCATAGCTAAACCCTCAGGCCTGCAATCCCTTCTGACTTCAACCTATTTGACCTACTTCTGCCAAATTAATCTTTGGTTTTCTTTTTTCCTATTTGTAAAGTAGTTGTCTAGTAGGCACCACTTGGGGTGCAATCACTCCTTCTCTAGGAACTGCCTCCAACACAGAGATGGATGCCAAGAAGTCATGACCTTACTATAGGTGGGGTGCTCAGTCACACCTGATTGATGCAGAGGTGGGGAAAAGACTCAGTCTGGGCCAATCAGATTCTTCTTTCCAGAATTTGGAATTTTAGAGTGACAGACACAGACTCTGGGAGCTGCTACAGGTTTCAGTCATGGTGACGGCAGAGCAGCTCCTGCCTTTGAGATCCCTGGAGTTGTTCTGGAACCTGCTCTTCTGGAAGCTTACTTGTTAAACTTCTTCCTTAGATTCTAAGAGATATCTCTGCATCCTTTTTTTTTTTTTTCTTTTTAAACTTAAGTGAGCCAGAGTTGGTTTTTGTCACTTGCCACAAGAATAATCTTGAAAAAATGAGACATTTGTCTCTAAGGCCTTAACAGAAGCCAGACAGGCGTTAACGACTCGATTTTCAAGGTAGAGCTACTGAGGTTCAGAGAATCTAAGTGATTTGTCCAAGCTTGTCAAGCTTGTGTTTGACAGAACTGGAACTAGAAACTGTGTCTGGTGATTCCTAAAAGAGCTTCCTTTCCTTCCCATCCTGCTTCAAAGAGCTAAAACTTTCACTAGGACAACTGAGCAGAGTCTTTTCATAATTAGTACAGCCCACTGTGACCTCCTTCGGCACTTATTTTCATACTATGGAAGAGTCTTCCTGAAACATCATTCTCAGTCATTTCCTGTCTTGCTGCTCAAGTCATATAGTGCCTCCTCAATGCTGAGCACACCCTTTAATTATTTATCAAGCAACAACATAGTAGTGGGGTTTTGTGGAGGACCCAGGATGCAAGACTAGAGTGAAGCCCCAAGCTGGCAGAGGAGAATAGGCTCACTATGAGTTGGAATCAAGTCGATGGCAACTGGTTTGGTTTTTTAAAATTATTATTATTTATAGGGTTTGTATGAGATTGAACTGACTTGAGGGCAGTGAGTTTGGTTTTGTTTGGAACAAGGCTTCAAACAGGTTGGTTCTGGTTCAAACCCCTGCTGAGAATTTACATTTCTAATAAGGTCTCTGCTGAGGATTTGCATTTCCACCCCAGATATACTCAATCAGAATCCACATTTTAACATGATCCCCAAGCGATTCTTATGTATGACTTCCTGGGAACTTGTTAGAAATGCAAATTCTCAGCAGGGGTTTGAACTAGATGAACCGGTTCAAAGCCCTGGTTTGGAAAGACAAGTCTGCTTATATTAAAATTTTATTACAGCAGGTCTTGGTGCCCATGTCTGCTGCTGAGTCAGTAAAACTATCTCCTTGGCCACTATGCCATCTTGCAGGATGCAGATCCTGGCCTTGGCATAGCCAGGTAGGAATCTTCGGCTTACCATTTAAGGCCCCTATCCAGTGGTCCATTCTCTCGTCTCAATCCTATCTACCACATCCTTCAAGGCTTGGATTAGGATATCTACCCGGATTAATTTCACCACAACCCTGTCGTTATTTTACCCTATGTCCCAGTTGCCACTGACATTATTTTCTTCAAGCCTTATCCTATATTCTATTAAAAGTTCTCAACAGATTTCTTTACAGCTTTTTTGAGGTATAACAGACATAAAACTGCAAATATTTAAAGTGTACATTTTGATGACTTTTGACATATGTTTTCATCTATGAAACTATCATTATAATCAAGATAATGAACATATCCATCACCCTTAAGTTTCCTTGAGCCTGTCTGTAATTCTTCCTTCCTGCCCCTCCCCGCCTTGCTCCTGTCTCCAGGCAATCATTGATCTGCTATCATTAGAGATCAGTCTGCATTTTCTAAAATTTTATATAAATGGAATCATACGGTATATCCTTTTTTAAAAAATTTTATTATTATTTTTTAAATTTTTATTGTACTTCAG